AGATAGAGAAGAGATAGAGATAGAGATAGAGATAGAGATAGAGATAGAGATAGAGATAGAGATAGAGATAGAGGGATAGACAGATGGATAGATGATAGAAGTGATTGTTAGAGAGATAAATGATGTATCTATCTGATGATACATTAATACATAGAAGAGAGAAAGATAGATGTGGATAGATAGATAAATGATAGAAGATAAATGATTGTTAGAGGTGATGTATCTATCTGATAATACATTAATACATAGATAGGAGAAAGATAGATGTAGACAGAAAAATGATAGAAGATGAACGGTTGTTAAATGACAGATAGATAAAAGATAGAGAGATAGAGATAGAGAGATCAGGATCTTGGTGTCATGGTGGACATCTCAATGAAAACCCAATGAACAGCTGCTATTAAAAAGCATTCCATGCTTGGAATCATTAAGAAGGGAATTGGAATTGGAAATGTTAATTTAATAGTGCCATGATATGGGAAGATTATGGTCTCTTTGCCTTAAGAGGAATATTTTAGAAAGTATAAAGCAACTGTGGGGCTTCAGCTTGGAATGAAGGAGGGTATGGTAGATGGGTATATAAAAATATGCATGGCATAGACCAGTGTTTCTGAACCTTAGCAACTTGAAGATGTGTGGACTTCAACTCGCAAAATTGAGAAACACTGAGCTAGAGGATCTCCAAAATCCCTTATGTTCTGTGATTCTATGTTCTTAAGATGCAATGTCATACCAAGTTGTTCATGGTATTACTTTTTTAGCTTGAACTTTGCCCAATTATGATTTTCCTATCTTGAACTAACACTCTGTCTCACACACATAAACACATTTTTTTAAAGACTGGAAGTGGCATATTGACATCCCACTTCCCCACCACTGACACGCATTTTCTTCTCGTTGCCTATCCTTGGAGATTGCTCTTAAAAAATGATAATGCAGGATATATTTGATGAACAATACGTCCATGCCATTTTTAGCTCCCAACCCAAAGGAAGGTTGGAAAGATTTTTTTTTATAAAGCACCCTTTCTTCCAATCCATCAGCTGGTTAACTGTCCAAACTGGGATCAAGTTTGCTGTGGGGAATGGAGTCAGCAAAAAGGGACAGATCAGCTTAAGACTACGGAGAAAAAGATTCCAGGAAAAAAAATCCCCAGTGCTTTCTGATGGGAGAGGCAGATGTTGCTGACTCGGTCATTCTAAGTGCCCCTCCCTCCTAGTCACGTGACCCAGAATGGAGGATGTGCAGCCTACCCATGCTTCTCCATGAGTACACACACATACACATGCACACACATGAAGGAAGGGCAGAAATACATACACATACACAAGGGTTTAGAAAAAATTCCACGGGTCAGATTCTGCAGGTTTTCCAAACCTGCCTTTTGAACTTAGTGTCAGGGTCATTCATGGGGAGCATGTCAAAAAAATCATAATGTCAGCCGTGATCATGCAATCAAAGCCTCACTTTTTTTTTACATGTATTGCACATAAAAAGCCTTTGGTTGCATGGTCATGGCTGCCATCTTGACTTTTCTGAACATCCCCCCCGCAATAAATGGAAATGTGTGCAGAAGTCCCAAATATTAGCTGCGCTTATACCTTGAGGCAAGCCATAATGCAGTTTGCTTAGCTTTTGCATGAATACAATATTGAAGATTCCTCTTTTTCCAATGATGCATTTAATGACATAAACTTCTGCTTGGAAGTGATTTTGAAAGGGGACTCCCAGTTGCTGTGTTTCAAGCGGTTCTGTCTCACTGGCATTGCCTCCTGCTTCAGCACATCAAATATCAAGCTCCAAGGAAACTAGATCCATGGAAGCTGTGGATCAGCCAAGATGGGCCCAAAGCAAGTCTGGAGCTTGAAAGTGTTTGTCCCATCCTACTTATTAGGGCAGCAAATCCCATCTTAGGGGGTTTTATTTACATTTCAAAACCCAGAATTCACCCGTCAACATGGCCATTGTTGAGGATTCTGGAAGTCCATCATCAGGAAATGCACAGACTGGGGAAGATTATTTTCATGCAGTTCAGTAAGGAATGAGGCTGGGGAGGCAGGAACCAAGGGTTCCCAGGCTAGAAAAAACCTTTGGGTCAACATGGAACAGGTGCCTCCCAAAGCCATCAAGAGAACATGTATTCATTCCCTTGGAAATGCAGGAGGGAAAGAAGACTTTAGACAGAAGTTTAAAGTTAGACCTACCTAAATGTTCTGACTTTTGGCAAATCTTGTATGTGTACAGGGCTTCATTTCTTGTCTGCAATTGACTAATTACAGGCTCTTGACCTCTTCCCAAAGCCAAAATCTTCCAAGTAAGATTCTCACAGAGTTTTCTTTAATAAGATTTATTGAGATGACAGGAATAAGGTTCCAAGAGTTCCAACAGCTGACCTATTTCCTAGAACCAATTTATGACCCAGTACATTAGTGTGGAGACCATCATGGTTTCCTTCTAACAGCTTTCCTATGAAACAGAGAGGAGGCAGCTCTTTTCATTAATAACAGAAGAGCTTGTAGGTGACTGTTTACAAAACCATCTCCTGAATTCTTCTCCATCTGTGAACTGACCATTAATCTGATCTAGCCAAGTCATATCTGAGAGCTTACTGATGAGTAAGTCAACTCCTGAATAACCAGTGAAGTGTCTGAAGGGCTATGATTTACAGCTAAATCCTGGTCTGAAGCCTGTCAAGTTCTCTTCAACTGCTATCTCTTCCAGATGTGCTGGGAAAAGACAGGAACTGGAATTCCAGCGGCAAACAAGCACCACAGTAACTAAAAGCAGAATCTAAGAGGAAGTCAAGATGCAAAGGAGGGGATGCTAGGAGGGTCCTCATGTCTGAATGAGATGCATGAACTAAGGAGCAAATACCTGAGGGTGGGGATTTATAGGGCTTTGTGAAATGGGATAGGCCAGGAGGAGCCAGCTGACCAAGATAGGCTGGGACAGATGTGGAAATCTGGGAGGTACAGATTGAAGAAGTCTGGCTTCGAAATTGGAGATGGAGGAATCTGTACTTCTCTTAAGAGAAAGTTTGCATTCTTTCACTACAATCTGATTTTATCCTGTTTATACACTTGTGATTTTTTTGGAAACCTGCACATTCAGATACATTTCCACTATGGACATTTTGGGCAAGAGAACATTTGTTCGTATTGTTGTATCCGGATTTTCTGAGCATAAACGTTTTTTGCTGAGACCTCCCTAATTATATGGGTTTACATATGGAAGCTTGGAAGAATGGATTTTGTAGGTACATTTTGATCAGAAAACCTCTCTGTAAAATTCAGCATTCCAATTCACATACTAGCTAGGGAAGTAAAAATGAGATTGGTCTGGTAAAATGGGAAGCAAGCAATTTTTGTCCCTATAAAGAGAATATGCCTGAAGCAAAGGTACATGCAGAATCCCAACTGGAGATCAGTAACAGGAAATCAGAAGATGAAAAAACTCAGCAAGTCATGAAAGCAAACCAGATGTGATTACTAACATGAGCTAACCACTTTAAATACTACAGAGACTGGTTACTTACAATGTTTGGATGTGAGAGCCTCAGCAAAACTCCAATTTCAGTTCTGACAATTTTCTTGTCAATCTGAAAATAATAATAATAATAATAACAACAACAACAACCACCACCACCACTACCACCACCACCACCACCTGAACTCCATCACCATTGACAAAATCAGCATCAGTCAATTGCAAAAGGCAGCTTTACTTGGAACAGCTTCTATCCTGTGACGATCCCTTTTACACTATCAAGCAACATCTGCCTATCCCAGGTCCTTGGGAAGGACTCGACAGCTGGAAAAAAAATGCCAAATCCAGTTTACACAACTGGCTGACTGTGCAACCACCACCACCATCACCACCAATAATACCATGATTAGTTGTTCTTCCAACCAATAAATACAAGTATTATATGGGAAGTTAGCATTACTTAATAGGAAAGGTTCTATTAATATGACTTTGGATCATTTTCTTTCTGTTAAAGATCAGGGGAGGCTGAAAAGTCAAGCTGGCAGGCACGACAGATATAGAAAAAGGGATGGCTTTCAATCACCTAGTTTCAGATGCCATCTTGACTTTTTTGGTGCCTCCCCAAGGATGCCTCCTTTTAAAAATCATGCACTTTTCTTGGCTATTGTCAGCATTTTGAGGTAGGCCAGGTCAGGAAACAGACGCCATGAGAAGTGCTAGAACTCTGCTTTATTGATTGAGGCTATAATAACAGAAACCTGGTAGCCTGGCAGCATTTCCCCTTCCCGCTCATCTTCTACCAAGGTTAAGATGGAGTCACTTTAAATTTCTTTCTAATGTTCTATTTCTGTCCTGGGCTTAAATCATGTTTTGCTAACTGCTGTCATGTACCTTCTCTGAGGTCATCTCTGTGGTTCTCTATACTATATCTCCATTACAGGTCGTCCCTAGTTTAAGAACAAGTTCCGTCCCCAAGGTCTGTCCTTAAGTCGAATTTGTACGTAAGCCAGAACAGTATTATTGTATAATACTATATCAGTAGTATTGTGTAATGAACTCTACCATTGTGTATTTAACTCAAATCATTGTGTATTTAACTTGAATTTTGCTACAATAGGCTCCGTTCTTAACTAGGGGTCATCTGTAACCTGGGCATTCTTAACCCGGGGCTGATCTGTACTGTATTTGTAATTTATCAAGATATGGAGAACTCCTGGAGATCGGCTGAGTCTTGTACAACATTAGAAGAAGAAATCTATCAATGATTTACAGAACGGATTGTTGGCCTATCAACATGTGCATTAGGCTTTTCTTTCCAGGAAGGGGGCAAGGAAGAAGATTTTTGAGCAATATGGACAACCTTCTGGCAGTTGTTCTGTTTCAAATATAATTTGCCAAGCCCTTTTCATCTTTTTTTAAAAGTATTAACTTTCAAGTTATTCCATTAACGGAATATAATTCTGTTACTTCTGTTGTAAGCCTGTGTGCTTTTCTTGTGCTAATTAATTTTGCTTTCTTTTTAAGAAGTTTAAAACCAGAGTACCCTGTGGAACTTAACACAGGGCTTTAGAGGCATCTGTAGGACGGTGGGGGTCAGAAAAGTAAAAATGGTGATTGTGATTGTGTGGTTGTGGGTGCCATTTTGATGTTTTTAACCCCCTGCCCCCCCAAAATGCTTCTGCAGAGCTTAGCACGTTCCCCATGCTCATTCGTAGGCCTGCATTGAATTATCATTAGGATGATATTCAATTATACGACGCTGGCTGGTATTGTGGAGGTCTTGATCTGGTGCCTGCAGGCAGCGAGGAACCGGAAGGGGCAAAATGAGTTCAAATTAAATCCTCCCAAGATTTCCATTTGTTCAGAAACATCTTGACGCTAATCTGGCCCCTTTCTTCCTTTCTGTTCCCCTCTGGATTTATTTTCTTTGTCATTGTTGTTCTTTTGACTTCTGCTGTTTTTGTGGGTTTTGTATTGCTCTTTGTTTTTAAATGTTTTAACAGTTGTAAACTGCCCAGAGTCACTGGGAGCCGGGCGGCATATAAATTTAAATAATAATAATAATAATAATAATAATAATAATAATAA